CCAAATACGGTGGTTCATTTTGCTGTGGACTGTTGCAGCTTTGCTGTGGACATTCGGAGGACGATAGGGGATTTGGCTGAACCCATCACCTATTGCATGTACCGTCGGTCCGTCGCACGTCGGGAAGCGTCATCTGGTGGCAGGCACGACCAGCGGCGCAAGCCACATTTTGACCCTCGGCCCTTGACCAATGACCGATGTCCATCAATCAATCAATCGAGTACACATCGACTCAGCTGCTTGCTTCGTTTACTGTGCCGTGGCCTTGCTACTTCGGCCATGCAGCTGGAGCTACCCAATGGCCCGGTGAAGCAATAATGCAGCAGCCCAATGAAGAGGAGGTGGTGACAAAATTATACACGTTTCGTTCTTGAATTATCCGACGCACTATCCGCCGGCTATTTTAAGGCCAACTCCACCGTGCGACCCTATCCTATCCAGCCCCGTCCGTTTAGGGTAAAAGGGACAAAAGATGCGGTCCAACGCGTGGGAGCAAACGGACTTTTGTCTGTTTTGTGTTTGCTTTCGACCCATCCGCGGCTCAAGTTTGCGCCGCTTTTGGGATGAAACGGACACCAGGCGGACGCGCGGGTCGTCTGCGCTTGTCCTCCTCTGGCCCGCCCGTCGGTGGCACAAGGCGGACCTTTTTTTATCCGCCCCCCTCCCTCCCTCCGGCCGCACCCCCTCCACTCTTCCCCACTCTTCCCCTCGCTGCTGCCGCCGCTGCTGCCGCACCCCCTCCACTCTGCCGCCGCCGACGCGAGCTCGGCCAACCCCTTCCCCTCGGCGCCGCCGAGCTATCCAACCACGACCACCTGGTTTGCGCACCCGCCGGCCGGTTTTAGGGCGGATCCGGTCGGTCTTGAGCTCGGCCGGCTGTGGGAGGCCGGGCCGCGCCATGGACTGGTCGGTCACCTCGCCGGAAGGCCCTGGCAGGGCCGCAAGGCCACATGCAGGCAGTGGCTCCTCCTCTAGCCTCTCGGATCTGCATCGTCGGTGGTCCGCCGGCAGATATACGAATGGCGGTCGGCCGGGCTCGGTGCTTGCCCAAAAGCTCGCCGGCGCACCGTTGCCACTCATTAAGTGCGACCACTGCCCAAGGATGGTCGTGCGCCGCGTGTCTACAACGCTGGAACATCCCGGATGGGTGTTCATCAAATGCTTAAACGATGGGGTATGCGCTTTTCTTAGCTTCGGTTTGTGCTCTAGATTTGACTAGTTGTGCTAACTTCAAATTTTGTTGTGTAGAATGGATGCAAGTTTTGGTATTGGGAAGAAGAGTACATCGATATATTTATAGAGCGAAATTTAGTACATGTTCGTGCACTTTTAGCTAGCATAGAGGCTGTAAATGAGACAAGTGCACTTGTTGCTAGATTAGAGGCTAGACACGAGATTAGGTCTGAGGAAGCAAGGAGGATGCCAGATCGAGCCTCCTCCGCAGATCAACAATGAGTGCATCGAGAAGCCCCGAAACCAACTCAAGGGGGCAGTTATGGAAGTTGGCTATCTTCTAAAATGTATTCTTGTTGTTCTTATTTTCTTTGGCCTTGCTTTACTAGTCAAAATGTGATGATGTATTGTCATGTACCAAAAATGAATGAAAAAAAGTAAAGGACTTGCAAAGAAAAATGCACGTGGACAGGATGCGGCCGGGATGCGTTCGTGCGCTGGGCGCACGGCCACCGCATCCCAGGACACGCCCGGACACGACCCCAAATCCCTACCCAAAAAGACAGAACCTGGACAAAATGAACGTCTGTTTGGGGTTGCGCGGTGGAGTTGGCCTAAACTCTAGCCTCGGACATTGCCGCATTCATCCTCCTTAGCTTCATTTATTTTCTTCACACCACACTCATCATGGCCTTTTTGAGCTCCAAAGCCATTTGGGACAGCCTCTCGTCCCAGCAAAAGACGAAAATCGGCGCCATTGATGTCGGCTGGCAGGCCGACAAGTAGCCGGAGGCGGACGTCCCAATGAAAGACATGTCCGACGACGTGCCGGCACCGTCCTCCTTGCCGGTCCATGCCGGCATTACCATGGACGAGGCCCGTGTTCACTACAATGACAAGATGTTGGCTGAGTGGGAGGCCACGTTCCGGCAGATGCAGGCCGACCGGGAGTACATCCATTGCCTCCTCGATGAGTATCGGCGTGCGGAGGAGCAACTCGCCGCTAGCATGACCATCGCGCTGGACGTGGACCTGGTCGACTCCTATCATACCGCCGACGAAATCCGCCACAACTGCTAACAGTACCACCGCCATCAGGCGGAGCTAGAAGTCGCTTTCAAGGAGATCGACGAGGCGGTGAATGGAGTCTACAACAAGAGTGAGGACGAGGACAACGTCACCAGCTCCACGCCCGTGCCCTGCCGCCACGACCACGAAGTCGGCACATCTACAAGCACTAGCGACAACGAGGAAGAGTAGAGCATGGGAGATCGCCGCCGCTCGGGTCCCAGGAAGGCCATCGCGCTTTTGCTCCCGCTGAAGGCAAACTTGGCGGGCTCATTATTGTCGGCTAAGTAGCCGCTTGCATGCTACAGAGGCGGAGCTTCAGTTCCCGGGGGCCATGGCCTGACGAACATGGGGAACGAGTGTTGGGGGTCATTTTGTCTAGGTTTAGAGTCCGGTCTAGGTCAAATATGTCAAAAATCACAAGGTTTTATGTAAAAATAACAAAGTTTTAATGAGATTTATCTGTTTAAATATGCATGTATGCAGCTAACATTGGATGGTCGGCTTCCGCATCAGTGTTCGTTGACTGGTCCCCCCCCCCCTCCCCGGTCTGTTGACAGATACAGTATCTGGTTTGCGGGTCAGCGTTGGAGACACCCTGAATCTTGGGCCCGATGGCGGCGGCGCCCGGAGCCTTCACCCTTTTGATGGCATCATCGCGGAATCTCGGTCCCACTCGGTGTGGCAGATGGCCTATGATGTCGGGTTTGCCTCCCCCTAGAGTATCACATCCTAGTCTGTGGAGTGGGTTGCATTGCATCTCTTTATCTCCTATACTGTAGACGGGTCCCCGTGGTCCTTGTTCTCAATCCTTGTTGTCCCTTGGCAGGAGCGATTCTCCACGACCCGAAGTGAGGGGGCTATTGCTACGATGAGACGCCCCCTTCTGGAGGTGGGTCGGTGTGTTCGAATCCTAAGTATTCGGTGGGTTCTCATGGGGACTCGGCTTTGATCCTCTATAATATTCTTGGTTGTAGTTTGTTAAGGGTGGATTCTCCTGTTTTTATTGCTGGGTGTTGGGTTTGTGGTACTTGTGCCACTCGCCCGTCGTCATTATATTTCTTTCAACCTGCTTGTTAGAAGGTATCTCACCACTTTTTATGTATGTGTCTTTATCTTTAAAAGGGAGTACTATATGAAGTAGTGAGAACCTAAGGTTAGATTGGATGATCAATATTCCTATTGAATTAGTTCTAAACTTTCTTTTTCATTTTGTATATTTTTTCAGAGACTAATAGTGTTTACATTTCGATCAAGGAAATTGCTTTGGGTATGATATGTGTCCGACCGGCATACTACACTAGGATCCTACGTTCACGGTTCAAGTGGGGATGTCATCTCACGGTGGTTTGCTAGTGTTGGACGAGTCCTACAGGAAATCGTCATACGCCCAAGACTGCTCATCAATCTACCGTGTCTTTTGTTTCTCTACCGTTTATCTTCTATATCTAAATAGCTAGACTCACTAAACTATTTCTCTTAACATACAAACATGTCACTTCATCATGCAACATGCATGAAAAAAAAGGCTGACCTCCACTAACCTATTTTTCTAAACATGCAAGCATGCCACATCATGCAACATGCATGAAAAATACTCACCTCAACATGCAAATATGCATGGGAATTTGCATTCTATTGCGATATTTATACTTAATAAATACTATGCAACTATACAAAAATAAAACATACTTTCAGTTCTAGCTCTTATATTATTACTCAAAATATTCATGTTTCATACAAGGAATCTCATTGAAATGTATTGCAAACTATCCCGCAACAACGTGTGGGGTATCATCTAGTTAATAACACTACGAGCAGAGAAACTACGATACCCTCTCTATTTCATAATGTTGTGATTTGTTTTTTTTTTTTGAAATGTCAAATCTCATAAACTTTGTCCAAATTTACGGAGAAAAAACATCTTCTACATCTAGAATGCCAAGATTATATGATTAGATTTATTATAAGATGCAGTTTTATACTTTATATTTGGTATTACAGATCCATTATTACAGAGGGAGTATAGAGCTTCGGCTTCAAAACACTTTACTAGTCTGTTCACTGTAGTACTCTTCCCCACTTGCCAAGCACCAAATAGGCTACACCAAATTTGACTGTTGCAACTTTGGGTGTCACATTAACTCAGCTGCTTGCTCCTTTACTGTGCCGTGCGCTTGCTGTCTTTCTCAGAGTCTCACCCTTCCTCCTCTAGTCTTCTCTTCCAGCCGTTCACCGGAGAGAGAGAGAGAGAGAGAGAGAGAGAGGTTAACGCAGGCTGCTAGTTCGGCCATGGAGATGGAGCTGCCCAATCTCAACGGCCCGGTGAAGCAAGAAATCGTTGTGCATGATGCAGCAGCCCAAGGAAGAGGAGGTGGTGGTGGCGCAATCGCGGAGGCGTCGGAACACGGCATGAGGAGGACGGAGGCCACGCCCACGCCCACCGTGAGGATTGAGGCCAACATGCTTGACTGCCCCATCTGCTCCTCCCCCTTCAAGCCTCCCTGTCTTCCAGGTTGATCTAGTAGAGCAATTTCTTTGGCTACTCAACATCCGATGAACCGAATCGAATCCAGCGGCAGCTGAACGCACGGATTTTAGCATTTTCTCACTTCCCTCGATCTGTCTAGTGCAAAGGCGGGCATCTGGCTTGCGGCAGCTGCGTCGCGAAGCTCCCCTGGAAACAGTGCCGGAGGTGCGACCACGGCGGCGACTTCCACGGCTGCCCCTTTGTGGACGCCTTCGTCTCCTCGGCCAGGATGAAGTGCGACCACCACGGCTGCGGCCGCCAGGTCACCTACCACAAGCTCGACGACCACAAGAGCGCGTGCCCGCTCGCGCCCTGCAGGTGCCCGGTGCCCGGCTGCGGCTTCGAAGGCCCGCCGCCGGCGCTCCCCCTCCACCTCAGCGCCATCCACTCCATGCCCGTGCACGCGGTTCAGTACGGCAAGGTGCTCCAGCTCGAGGTGCCGGTGTCGGAGCCGCGGCGCCTGCTGTTCGCGGAGGAGGACGGCCGCGCGTTCCTCGTGGTCGGCGGCTCGCTCGGCCTGGGCGTGCCCATCGCCTTGTCGGTCGTGTGCATCAGGGCGGGGGCGTCCCCGCCGCCGCACTACATGGCCAAGGTGTGGGCGAACGGGCCGCCGGCGGTGGCCAACGACAGGACCGACGCGGTCCGAGCGGAAATCCATGTGACGAGCAGCAAGGAGCCCGGCACCGTCGCCGTGGAGGAGCTGACCTTCTTGACGGTGCCACACAAGCTGCTGGCTGGGGCTGGCCCGTCCAGGACGGTGTCCCTCCACGTTCGCATTGACAAGGTCACCTCCTAAATGAGTCTGCTATGCCTAGGGTTCTACTGATCTTAATACTAGTAAGGTTTAGTCTAGTTTGGTTTAATTTAGCTTAACAGATGATGGATTTTGGTAGCATGCGTCAATTCGTTCAACATCAGATGAGTACTTTTTTTGTGTGAAAACATTAGAAGAGTACTTGTTAGTTGAGTTCCCACATGATTAGTACATGGAAGAGGTATTTTGAGGCTGTTGGATGTAAGATCTTTGGCTAGCATGTAAACCAAAAACATGCTGATTATATGTTTGTTAAGAAATTGTCCCTCCACGTTTGCATTGACAAGATCATCATAGTCTGACCGACAAGTCAATCTCGCCGCCACCACTGTTCAACTTGACCGAATTCGACTAAATTAGATTAGCTTTGTGGTTTGGTGAATGATATGTATGTGAACTATATTGTTCCGGCACGACAAGTTCCATGACTAAGAATGCAGTTTGTCAGGCCACGTTTACATCTGTTAAATTTAGGAAGATCATATCCCACATTATGAGTTTTGTAAAGCAATAATTACTTTTAAACTGGACCATCATATCCTCTCATCCGAAGAGGCACATCTTAATCTCAAGCATCGACTTAATTAGAAGGGGTGTACAGAAGTGGAACCCAAAGTTATATTATCCCAAATAAAAACTCTACTTACGTAGCAATATGTTAAAGATCAATTCTTTGAACAGTCAAAACAAACATTATCGGCATGCTAAAATTATTGGCAGTTATCTTTTCTTTTGGGGTATGCTCTGCTGGCTCCAACATTGCCACAATGGCAGCCACCACTTTTCCTCTTCGGTCTTCACCCTCCCTTCTCTTCCATTATTTCCCCACTAAAACACACATTGCGACCAGAAATAACAATGAAGGATGGGGAGAGTCGTGGCAAGAAGGCGAGTGCCGAGGAGGTGAAGTCGGAGTCAGAGAAAAGGGAGGTGACGATGCAGGACGAAGGCGAAGCAGAGGATGCGTTGGTGGCGGCGGAATCCATGGCACCGATACAGATCGATGTGAGGATGGACGTGACACTCCTCCATTGCCAGGGCTGCCACCTCCCACTCAAGCCCCCGGTGTTCAAGGTGATCTCTCCTCTCACACCAAAGCGACCATTTTTTTTTTGAAAAGACCAAAAAGAAAACCCTCTGTCTATCTCTTTTTGAGAGGATTTCTTTGAGATTTTGGGAAGATGACATATTTATTTTATTTTCAAGTGGATGGAAGACATTTCTCATCCTCTCCATCTATCATCTTGCAAGTGAAATTTAATAAGTATACATACATTTGTGGTGTGTGCATCGCAATGATGCAGAGAGCCAGAGACCGAACTCGGTGTCCTCCCTTTCTTAAAACAAACTTGCAAGTGAGAAGGAGATGGATTGATTTGTTCTGCCTATGGACATCTCGTAGCTGAAATTAAGGCGTTGATGAGGGATAGGGAGTTTATTCCCCAGAAATTAAATAGGGATCAGAATAGAGTCGCTGACTGCTTGGCAAATTATAGTCGCGTAGAGTGTACCACGGCTGTGTGGATGCATCTAGGACCACCATGTATCGAGGATCTTTTACCTCTTGACTGTAACTCTATCAATTTGGAATAAAACTCCTTTTTCATCGGAAAAAAAAAGAGAAACGAGGCCTGGAAGCTGATGACTTGGGTATTGTTGTGTTTACTATCGCAGTGTGATGCCGTAGGGCACGTAGTGTGCTACTACTGCCGTGCCGGGCACCGCGCCGTCTGCAGCCGTGCCAACACCCACTGCGGCCAGCTGGACAAGGTGGTCGGCGCCGCCAAGGTGCCATGCCCCTACAAGGCGTTCGGCTGCGAGCGCTACGTGGTGTTCCACGAGGCCGCGGACCACCAGCGCGTGTGCCACTGCGCGCCCTGCACCTGCCCGGAGTCCGCATGCGCCTTCGTGGGCTCCCGCGCAATGCTGGCCAACCACTTCGCCGCCGATCACCAGCGCCCCGCCGTCACGGTCCGCTATGGCCGGTCTTGGTGCCTGAGCTTCTCCCTGTCGCACGGCTGGCACCTGCTCGTCGGGGAGGAGGACCGCATCGTGTTCCTCGTCTCCCTCTGCCCGCTCGGTCCGGGCACCGCCATGTCACTGATGTGCATCAGGCCGGACGGCGAGGCTGAGACGGGCCCCCGGTTCTGGTGCAAGCTCTCCATTGAGCGCCGTGGCGGCGACAAGAACTACGACCTAGTTCTCATGACCTCGCCGGTGATCAGCAACGCGATGTTCACGTGCGCGCCGGCGTTGGGCCAGGGGATGTTCTTGGTGGTGCCCCAGGAGCTGCTCTCCGGCGACACGCTCACCCTCAGCGTCCGCATCGATCTCATCCCACCTGCCGCTGTCGCTCCCAAGTCAACTACACTGCAGGCCAGGGCGCCGAGGAGGATGCAGTGAAGTAAGTGTTTGATCTCCTTCATGTTATGGATGATTTGTGCAGCTAAGTTAGATGATTAGTATGGATGTATGACTAGAGGCTAAACCACACATGTGCAAGCTAATCAACCTAATCAATCAAGATTATGGTAACAAGTTCAGTAGTAATGCAACTAAGCAGCAGGGATGGATGATTAGTATGAATGTATGATTATTCTGGCATCTGATGGTTTAGCTGTTTAGGCAATATCAGTACTAGATCAGTTTGACTTGGTAGCAATGCAGCTAAGCAATGGTAGCAGCAATATGTAGCTAAGCAAGGGTAGGAATGCTTCGCCCTTTGTTCTGAACAAATGGCCTAAATAGTGGTAATGCAGCTACTAGTTTGTATTTGATCTGAGTGAAGTGCAACCAATAATTGAAGTTAATCTGAAGATCCTGCACCATAATTTATTCTGTTCTTTATAACCTGCAGCAGAGTATGTATGGCAAATTATACATTTTGTGAACCGTATTGTTCATGTTCAGATTCTTCAATTTTTTGTTCACATGAAAGAAGCTTCTATAAATCATTTTTTTTCAGATTGGCATGAGTAAGATGCATGTAAATTTATCCTTCTGAAAAACTAACATCATTTTTTCATTTTTATATCTGAGATATTTTTTTCTGTGAGCAAGCTGGACCTGATGCTCAAAGAACCTTAAAGTTCAACCGAAGATGCCATTGTGGACAGAGTCACATTTCAAAGAGACCCCCCCCCCCCTCTCGGAGACGGGTCAAGTTGTGTGTTATTATGCTTCTTTCAAAGTTTGTATTCATGGTTCACATAAATCCTCGTGTGTTGCGATGTAAACCTTTTGGTATTCAGTGACTTGGAACTTTTATGTTTAATAAAGTGGTTGTGTGCATCACATGATGCAGAGGCCGGATGCAGAAGCCGGGGTTACTCCTTTCTGAAGAAAAAAAAGGTCAACAACAGTTGTGTCCATTGTCCAACATAGCATCAGATATAAGCTTTGATTTTTTTTTGTAATTCATCCGTGAACGCAAGTAAAATGTAATGGGCCTCACAAATTCAGTCCAACCTCCAACCTGCTGGTTACATTGCGGCTACTACTTAGTTTCTCAAGTCCCAAATTGCAGAAACTGTGTGCATTTCCCAAGTTTATTTAAAATATCACCTGATAATGCGCATTCAAAACAGGTTCGCAATCTTTTTGTGACATTTAACTGGAACTAGTAGCTTGGAGAGAGATTCTATTACAGAAACGGAAATGCAAATCGAGAGTAGTTTAAGCAAACAATCACCCAAATTGTATGCAACAGAAAGATGTTTGTCATCTTCCAACATTGTGAAACCTACATTTCTCCTCAAGTAAATAAAAAGATTCCCCAATTTTTCTACAATCTGTAAAAGCTTAAAGATTTTGTCAAGCAAATATGTCATGTTAAATTATCAGAAAGTATCGGAAAAATAAATAAATCAAGCATGTACAAGCCCTGCTACTCTTACATGGTAAACAGAACTTCATAACCTCAAGAGAAAGCCAAGTGAGGGACAACACACATAGTAAAACCATAATACAGGAGATACCCAAATGGGCCAGGACAAGTGCAAACATTGTTCGATTCTGGACTGCGCAACGCGAGCAGTCATACAGTACGTCAACAACATCAAAATGGTTTCATGGGGAGAACGCATGCAGGTAGTTGGATGTGCAGGCAGAGAGGGTTTTTGATGATTTTGCGCTGTTTGCTGAGGCAGTTGATTTTTCTGCAATCGACTCCCAGCTCTACAACAGCCTTTTATTACCCTTATGGTAGGAACGGGTTCCGAATGCTCACAATAATGTAGTTGGAAATGACAAAAGGCTCCTATCTTCGAACCTAGGACTTCTCCTAGGGGCTTCGGTATGGTAGTTCTTCTTCTTCCTAGGACGTCTCCCATACATCCTCAGCAGCCTTCCATTATCTCCTTCATATGTCGTCAGACCCTTCGGAGTAGTGAAAGTGGGACCTGCAGCGATAACAACTTATCTTTATCAGGCTGTCTTTGTTAATTCAAAAGAGGGATCGATGTTGCAATGATTGGTTGATATGGAACATTTTCATGATAAGCACACAACTTAAGAAACAGTGTGATATAGAAGAGTGTAATTACTTGGGAATGGCACTGATGTTGGAGGAAAATTCTGTGTTGCAGTGGCATCAAGAGGCCCTTTCTCTGCAACCGAGGACAGTGTTGCAGCGGTACCTGTCGTAGTATCTCTGGAGTGAGTAGAGGACCCTTCTTCAGTCTGGTCCGGCTGTAATGAGGGATGAGCCTCCGAAGCGGCCGAAGCGGGGCCTGCAGTGATACAACAACCTTTTATCTCTATGATGGTGCCACTGTTAATTGAAAACAGGGATTGACGTTGCAATGGTTGTTTGATATTGTACTATTTTCATGATAAGCACACGAGGTTTTTTAACATAAAATGGGATAGCGAAGAATGTAGTTACTTGTGAGTGGTACTGTCATTGAAGTGCAATTCTGGTTTGCAGTTGTTTCAAGAGGCCCTTTCTCCTTAAACATGGACCATGTGGTAGCTTGGATAGC